CTTACTATTTATGAAGTCAGGCCAATTAATAATTATTTCTAACACTGAATGATTATTTGAACCTTAAAACTGACATTCAGCTTCAAGTTAAATTACTTCCTAATATTTGTATCAATGGTAGTTTATCCCATGAGTAATCATAGAACTTTCAATGTGATATATGCATTCAGATCCAAATATTAACTAATTCTTTAAATACTTGTTTTTCCCATCACTGTACTAATTTTAGTCACTGCTAACAACTGTAGGAATAAGCCTAGGAGTTTATCCTCGACCAGGGGCAATGACCATGAAAGACAAAAGACACAAAGATAATTCTGAATGAGGAGACCAGGAGACTCTTTGCCTCTAATGGACAAAGAGCCCTAAGCATTTGGCTCACTTCGCTTTTATTCACTTAAGACAAGGGAACAAACAATTAAGTTAAGAGAGGATTCATCTTCCTCTTGTTATCTAGTGCATGTACCCAGGTAAACATCCAGATCTCAGCTGTATTGACTCTTCTCTGCCTGCATGTTGCCAAGGAGCCAGAGCTTGCTGTTTTTCTCTGTTGGCTCACAGAGAAAGTCAATTAGACCTTGGTCCTGGTCTCCTATAAGCAACCTCTTCCAACTTTCATCAGATGAGAAGGAATCAGAATCATATCATTTTTATTTATCAGATGGTAATAAAGCCAGATGGATGCAAGCAAATACAGCAGGCCTCTATGCAATCTTATATGACCCTGCTAGAGATAATGTATTGTCAGTGGCATAATTTCTACTATACTTGTACACAGGGGAATTTCAGTAAATTTTCATGCTCAATCCCACCTTGATGGGGCATTCTCCTGTTGGAACATTCTCTAATGAGCTCCCTGACTATTTAATCTATTGACTACAAAGTAGACTATTTGTAAGCCCATCATGATAATCCTATTTTCTTTCCCACTGACAGGGCAAAAGGAAGGCACTCTGGCTTCATGCATCTGCACAGCCTTTGTTCAATGTGGTTCTAATTTATATATAGGTGACCACCAATTTTCTCATCAGACTCTCAGCAGTAAGTCATTCCCCACTGTGATTTTATAAACCACATGCCAATTTAATAATTTGAACCTCTACTTCATAGTAACAACCACAGTATAACTTTACATTTATTTGTAATTGTATGATTGAAGTCTGCCTCCACCACTAGATTAGGAAGTACAAGAGAACAAGGACAACGTGTTTGCTCACTGTGGATTTGCAATGCCTAGGCATACACCACTGTGCCCAGCTATAACCATTTTTTGTTTGTGCTTGTTTGTCTTATTTTCTTTTGTTTGGTAACAAGAATTGAACTTGGGACATTGCACTTGCCGGGCAGGCATGGCACCACTGAGCTAAATCCCCAGCCCCTAGAATCGTTTTTTTAAATAGGAACGTGAACAATGGTAGCAGATCCTACAACTATTACCCTTAGTATTTACAAAGCATTTGAAGAAGAATTTTAAAGCACATAAAAACAAAACTTATACTATTCCCAAAGATATGTGTTACATTGTTCCTTTTTTCTAGACAGGAGAAAAAGGACTCACTCAGCATGATTTATCTAATCAAGTTCTGTGGATTTGTATTCCCTGGTTTTTGCCCCCAGAATAAATTTAGGAGATTAAATTTCCCTTTTCCTGAAACTGTGGTGTCATGGCCATGGTATCATTAAGTATAATATTTAGCAAATTAAAGCTGTATAATCATTAAATAACAAATCATGCAAAAACACATTCAAGAAGTTAAATTACCTATACTACGAAAAATTAAAGAGTTTGCAATTAAAGTACCTAGATTTTGATCAGGGCCCAATACTTAATGCCGGCTGAAATTTTTAATGAGTAACTGAGATGCTGTGAAGAGCAAAGGAGTTTACATACAACACTCTTTATACATGATGCCCGCTGTACATTCATGTTATGAATTTATTAATTGTTGAGAACTGAATTGTGAGGGAAAGCATAGAGACATTAATACTAGGAGACTCACTTACTGAACATTTACTGTGAGTCAGGTACTACACTAAGGGTTTTCTTAGCTTCTCAACTCCCAGCTAGTAGGCAGTTCTAATAGTAGATGCAACCTCTAAACTTTAATCAAGTATTATTTTCAAGGTAATAGAGAACATATTTTAGATGGCGTGGGGGGGGTACCGGGGATCGCACTCAGGACCTTGTGCTTACGGGGCAGGCAGCTGAACCACTGAGCTAAATCTCCGGTCCTAGATGTATTTTTTAAAGTCAAGAAATGCCACAGAAAATTCAGCCTAAGAATCCAATGTTTGCATTCTTTAAAGCAGCCCATGTTGTTCTTTTTTTTAAATTGCATTTTAAATTTTTTATTGGTAAATTTTAGATATATAATGATAACATTCATCATAGGGAATTTGTACCTGCACATATCTTCTTTTTTCCCCATTCCTCTCCCCTCCCTTCAACTCCTCTTCCCCTCTTTATTTACAAAAGCTTTGTTTACATTTTTTTCCTTCTAGTCTCTTACTTTTTTCTTGCCCTTTTTTCCTTTCCCCCTCCCCCCTCTCTTGTTCCCTTCTCATCTGAACATTTTCTTCCTATTTCCCCAATATCTAGTATACATTTTAGTTCTTATTTATAGTTTCGGTTTCTCATACCAGAGAAACAATGCGGTATTTAAACTTGGGTGTCCCATTTATTTCACTTAAGAATATGGTCTCAAGGTGCATCCATTTAGCTAGAAAGGTCTCAAGCTTATCCTTCATGGCAGAGGCCCATATTGTTCCTGCTTCTCTTCAATAAATTCTTGTGTGTGTGTGTGTGTGTGTGTGTGTGTACTTGCAAGGCAGGCCACCAAGCCGCTGAGCTAAATCCCCGGCCCTTCCTCAATAAATTCTTGCCATTATTCCTTCACCCAACAAATACTCAGCCTCAGGCTCAATTTCTAACCTTAGAAAGGTCTTTTTCACCCTTTCCCCAGCATTTATCCACTAGCAATTTAAATTCATCTTTTTTTTCATAGTTTGTCCCCTTATAAAATCTCACTTTGCCATTTAAGATGATTCTCCCTAACAAAACGAAGGCGTCTTGAAGGAAAAGCAACAAATGTTAAATTTGATGCAATACCAAGTCTCTCACGAGTGAAATTTAATGGGGCTAAAGAATCACAATCACCTCTAAGGGGCTGAGGGAATCAACCCTTCTCTAAACTCGCCTGTTTGCGATCGCTGAACTCCTCTAGAAGCTAACTGCCCTAAGATATTCTTGGGGCATAGTCTTAATGTTTCATGTGCTTTGTGTTTTTGTCCCTGAAACTGAAGTTCAAGGGCAAAGGCTAAGCCTTAATCTCCAACTCAACACAGTGCCAGAAAATAGGGCAAATCAACAGGGTTATTTGGTGGTTATGAGAAAAAGCAGATGGGGGAAGGCTCCTGTGCGCAGTGAAGCAAAAAAGACCCTTGCGAGATAAGAAACCACCCATCCTTTGAAAGCCTCTTAAGGATGTCCTTTTAAGGAGGCCTGGGAGGAAACAAGGAGCCCGGCGGCCATTGGCTGAGGAGTGTGCGCCGGTCGCCCACACTCGGCGCAGGCTGCGTCCGCCAGC